ACTAGACAGTGAGTTCTGGTAAGGTACATATTCCAGCACAAATTACATATGCAGCAAAGAGTTATTAGCTATGTACCATGGGCAGGAACAGCTAAGTGTTTCTGTATACCAACTTACTTAATCCTGAGAACAATTCTTAGGTGTAGGTACTATCATTATCCCCGATTTATGTATGAGAAAACTGAGGCACTGTTATTCGGTAAGTTGCCCAGGTTCACTTCACCAGTAAATAGAGGAGGAGCCAGGAACGGAATCCAGGATGTCTGCTTGCAGAGCCTGCCAGGTAAAGGGTGTTTCAGATCTGGTTGTAGGATAAATGAGCACACGAAGACATGACTGAACTGGCCAGGCAGCCCCCGTGCACTAGCGAGACTAGGGGGCCCCATCTGGCCACTTCATCAAGAGCTCCTTTGTCTCACCCTGCGGCACTGGATGTTCCCAGCCTGTGACAAAAGGATTGAAGGTCATTGCTCTTCATACCTGTAGATATTCGTCTGCTGCCTGCCCTCTGGATACCCACAGAAGAGACCTTCAGAGTCAGAACGCAGTGGTCTCAAAATCTGCTCAAGTGCAGAGTCTGACTTTAATTCCTCTCAAGATTCTGTCCTCTCAAGAGCCTGGCACTTAATAGGTGCTCAGTATATGGTGAGGATTGCGCATGTCAATAAGTCAGGTCAACTAAATAATCAATCCTGCAATCCGTGAGTGCCGAGTGAAAAGGCATTTTAGCCCACCTCATGTGTGAGAAATAAGCATTAAACAAATCATAAGGTCACAGTTGGTTTGCCTATGCCCCTGTTGTCTTTTAGTATCTACTCTTCCTTGTCCTGGTATCAGCCTCACATGTCCAGTGTACAAATGCTGTCCATCTGTGTGCCCCACCCACTTCCCCAAGATGCCCCACCTGGAATGTCTTCTCTGCATATCAATAAAGTAGTATTTATATATTCATATTTTGGTCTTGATTTTGTGAGTTAGGTATTCTGGAAAGGCTTAGCTGGGAATTCTTTCTTGGGGTCTCTAATGGGGTTTGAGTCACAAATCAACTGAAGCTGTCATCTGAAGGTCGGGCTGACTGACAGGCTAGCAGGTCACGCTGGCTGTCATGTCTGTCTATACAGTACCTACCAAATGCCAGGAGATTACTGGTGATGCATAGGGATTGTCGAGTCTTTGAGTTTGTTCTAGGGCTTGGCTTTCTAAGAGATACAAAGGGGCCTGACAGTATCTCTGCCCTCCAGGAACTTACAATCTGGATGAGAAAGCAGAACAAACATACGGAAAATTAAGCACAGTGAGGAACTAAGCTGTGGAAGACTTTGCATAACGCAGTAGTTGCACCAAAGAGGAAAATAGCCGTGGATGACAGGAACGTGATCTAAAGCTAAGGATGAGGAATCAAAGATGAAAGAGCTTCTTTATGCTTGTCTAACTTTTCCACTAGAATGTCAAGACCATCCCTACTTGACTACCCTGTGTCAACAATGCCTAAAACAGCACTCACTAAAGAGCTGTAGAATGAATGAATGAATGAATAAGTGAGTGAATGAAGGAATGAATTTTAGGGAGGAGGTATTATAGATGGATGAGAAAGATCCAGAACATGGGCTGTACTTTTCTCCCCTGAGTATATTGTTCTGATGTTCCAGATGTTAGTAAATCATCTCAAACAAATCTACAAATTCCTTCTTGCTGCTTGAACCTCTGGTTCTATGATTCTAATCCCTGTAGAAACGCTAATAGTTGATAATGGCTTCATGTTGAATTCCTCCTAGAGCTATTCGCATTTTAACACTGGACTCCTAAACTGCCTGTATCCCTAACTGGAGGAATTTTAGGTGCTGAGACCTGATCGGGTGAGGGGGGCTGGATATTTGTGGGCTTCAAGGGAGGTTCCCTGAGTACTAGCTCACAAATCTATCTACCCACAAGGGTGACTCAGGAAGACTGATTTTGGCAGCCATTCTCTTACCCCAGGGAAAGTGGGGATTTTAGGGTTTCCTCTAGTTCCCTCCCCTTCCTCCCTCCCTTCTTCCCTATCTTCTTCCCTTCCTGTCTTCCTCCCTCCCTCCCTCTCTTCTTCTCCTCTTATTCCTTTGTGTCTGAGTCAACCAGTGGGCATCTCACCCACTCAGCCCCATGGCCCCTTCAGTTATGTTCCTACAACTCATCGGCCAGCTCGGATTTCCATCAGTGTTGGGCTTCTAAGCCTCAGCTCCTGGCTGTAAGTGAGCCCCCAGGTTTGTCAGAGAACAGTAGGACAGGTGGTCCTTTGTGAGTACATGTGTAAAGAGCACAGGCACACAGGGCGTGTGGGGTGAGGAGAGAAGGACAAAGGTGTGGGAAATAGATGAATAAATAGATGAATCAGTCACTTGATGGATCGTTGGCTTACTAGGCCAGGGCCTGGGGTCATTCCTGTTTTGAGTGACATTCCAGGCCCCACTGGTGTTAGTGTTCCATGCCCATCGGGTCTTCCCATGGCTCCTCTTACCGTAGCCCATGAACTGTCCACCACGTTTCCAAGCAGGACCCCCACTCTTCCTGCCTTGTGCTTTAATTCATGCTATTCTTTTCACTTGACATGCCCTCTGCCTTCTTCTCTGTATCACCAAATCCTGCCCCTTTCCTCACCACCGCCTTATCTGAGGGGAAACCTGAGTGAACCAAAGAGCAATCTATGCAAGAATCTGAGGGGAGATGCTCTGGGCAGAAGAAACGGCCAAAGGAAAGATTCTGAGTCTGAAAGCTGCTAGGTGGGTTTACAGACCAGCACAGAGGCCAGTCAGTGCCTGGGTGAGTCGGACACTTTGTATTGTCCTCAGTCATGATGAACCTGGTTGAATGAATCAGTTATTTCAATGTTTTGAGGGTTAGATCCCTGAGTGGGAAAGGAGACATTTATTTGGTACTATTGGGGTTCCAAGTGATTTACCTGCATTTTCTCCCTTACTCTCAAAATCACCCAATGAGGTAAGTGTTATTCCCATTTTAGAGATGAGGTAACTGAGGCTCAGTGAGGTTTAGTGACTTACTCCACATCACAGGGCGAGTAAGTGTTGAACGGGGATTCTCTTTGGTGGCAAAGCCCTTCATTATGTCACTTCCTGTGTCACTTTCATGTAGGTAAGACTCTCTGGTCCTTCAGCTCACAGCAGAGATGGGCTTCAGCTTGTCAACGGAATTCTTAAAACCCACAGCTGCTTCTAGCAGATGTCATCTAGAAATATAGAAGGTGTCCATTTCTGGATGCGCTCACCAGCCCTCTCCTCAGCCTCCATACGTGCCCCTAATACTTCACAGTTGGGGGTGGGGAGGAGGAATGGACACTTGACAGAGGGCTAAGAGGTTTGGATTACAATCCCTGCTCAAGTACTTGTTTTTTTTTACTATTCTGGGCCACTGAGACTCTCTGGGGCTCAGCCTCCTACCTACAAAGTAGATGCCCCATCTACTAATATAATAAAACTGTGATAAACATAGCCACAATAATGGCCACAACTGCCATTTATTGAGCACTTACTATGCAGGTATCATCTCACTAAAGCTTATGACAGATTTATAAGGTATTTATGATCAGTCTCTATCCCCATTTAAGAGATAAAGAGAGTGACACTAGGGTGAAGTGACTTATTCAAGGCCACACAGGTACTGACTCTTAGGATAAGAATTCACACGCTTACCTCAGTGTGCAAGACCCAGCATGAATCCCCTGCAAACCACTGCCCCGCCACCCCAACCCCCACCCCTCCCTTTCGGTGCTGCAGCCACACTAGCCTTCTCTGTATGTGCTGTGCTTTCCCCCACCACTGGGCCTTTCTTTGTGCAGACTATTCCCTATAGCTGACATGCCTCCCTTCCCCTTGTGCTCGGTTATTACTTCCTACTCCTTCTCTAGATGTTGGTTGAACTCCCATCTCCTAAGGAAGCCTGTGGAGGTTTAAAATAGACCCACGATTTCTTTGGCAGCCTTCCCATTGAGAGAAGGGGTCTCTACCCCTGCTCATGGATCTGGGCAGCTTTCTGACTGCTTGGACCAAGGGTGTGGGTGCAAGTGATGCTATGTAACTTCTGAGGCTGGGTCGTAAGATCCCATGCAGTTCCAACCTCGCTCATTGGAACAGCTGTGCTTGGAGCCCTGAGCCACCTCACAGGAATGCCTACTCTCCTGAGACCCTGTGCTACAGCAGCCAGCTGAGCCCTCAACCGACATGACAGCCAGCGTGACCTGCTAGCCTTGTGAATCAGCCAGACCTTCAGATGACAGCTTCAGTTGAGTTGTGACTCAAACCCCATTACAGACCCCAAGAAAGAATTCCCAGCTGAGCCTTTCCAGAATACCCAACTCATAAAATCAAGACCAAAATAAAACGATCATTTTAAGCTGTTTTGTCTTGGGGCGATTTATTGTATGGACATCAATAACTTTAAACAAAATTTTCCATGGGTGCTTTCGTCCCCTTTTGTCACCAGCCTAGGTCAGTTTCCTTTTCATATGTTTTTATGTAACAAAATTTCTTTTCTTCAGAGTGCTTGTCTCAGTTTGCAATTATAATCTCATTAGTGTGATTATTTCGTCACCTGTGACTCCCCACGAGCCTGGAAGCTTCATTAAAAAAAAGAGCTGGGGCTGTTTTTGCTTGACTGTTGTGTCAGCTGAGAGTGAATATGGCTGCAAGTAACAGACTGCTTACTGCCAGTAGCTATGGGGGCGTGTTTGCCTCACGACACAAAATATGGAAGTAGGCGGCTGTTAGCATTAGTTCAGTTGCTGGGTGCTACTTTCAGAACTCAGGCACTTTCCCTCTCTTTCAGTTCATACTCAGCATGTTGTATTTCCGTCCTCATGCCTGTCACCTCGCTGTTGCAAGATTGAGGCCTCAGCTACAGATACTGTATCTTTATTCAGAGTCTCAATAAGCAGGAAGCAAAGGGATAAAGAAAATAACTTTTTTTTCCTTATGCAGATCTATTATTTTTACAGACAGTCTCCAGCAGACGTGTTTTTTTTGATTCACTGATCCGAACTGAGTCATATGTTGTGCAGAAGAGTTAACACAGCCAACCAGAGACTGCTACTTAGAAGAGCCTGCAAGGATTTTCCTGGTCTTATCTGGTAACTTGGTATTTGATCCACCCCCTAACGCATAAGGGAGGTTTATGGCTCCTACACTGTTTGTACAAACCATGTAATTGATGTGGAACCTCTGCTTTCCTTCTGAGAGTCTGGAATCTTGGAACATGCTGGGCAGAGGGTGCTGATATGACCAACCCCGGTAAAAACCTTGGGTGCTGAGTTCAGATGGGCTTCCCCAAGCAGAAACATTGAATCCATGCTACTGCGCTTTTTGTTGCCGACTCTGTCAGAGGGTGAGAGCACACTCTGTCCCCTCACAGATGGAGATACTGTAACAAAGCTGTGTATGGATTTCTCCAGAGTCCACCTTGTGTCTTTCCTTCTTGCCGATACTATTGTGTATCTTTCTGCTGTAATAAGCTTAAGCCAGGAGAACTTCTAGCAAATCATCGAATGTTTGCATGGTCTCCAAGACCCCCAGAACACATGCTCACTGGGAGACCCATAACAATCAAAGAGGAACGGGGGGAATTGCAATGACTAGTGTAGACCAGAACGGTGCATCCTTTTTGCCTGGGGAGGGACACAACCCGCCACCTGAACATGCATTTTAAGTTTCAGGATTAATTGGGAGATGGGGATATGTATGCATGTTGGAGAGTGATGTTAAAGCCTAGAACAGTTGCAGGCACATACAAGGTATATATAATAGTACACACGTTTTGAGGGAGAGAGAAAAAGAATGAACTGAGCAGAGCTAGATTTTGGCTTCGGATATCATTTATTCCAAAGCTTAGATCTTATGTGTTATGTCATATTGCCACCCCCTTTGTCTGCTTTCACTGTAGCACTGTTGGGAGAGTCACATAAAAGGGCTTTGCAAAGGACCACGTGCTATATACAGATGGGAGCGCTCTCTGTCAGTCTATGTGAGTGGCACAAGGCAAACTTGCTTTGTCCACTTGGAAAACGGGTAAAATCGCACCTACTTCCATCCCATCTGGTGTTGTGTCTGGAGTGGGTATTTTGGAACTTCTGTCGGGTTGATTTGGATGGCGGCTTTAGTCTGTTTTTAAAAACAAGTCCTGGATCAAAGCAAAATAATTTCATTTTGGGAATCCTTGCTTTTAGCGTCGCTGTGTTTTAAATAACTGGCTCTTTATGAGGAAAAACTAAGACCTTGTAGGCAGTGTTTTCTTTGTTGGTGGAGACGCTGGGGAAATTGTCCAACAGGATGGCTAGAGGTGAAAGTGGGGTGCAGTAGGCAGCCTCATGCTGACAGGAGGATGAAGGGGGAGCCCGTGTGAGGTAGGGCCTGTGTGTGATGGCTGAAGCAGTGCTGCCGCTCAAAGTGCAGCACGCAGGGCTCACAGGAGGTTCCCATGGCTCTTCCACTGAATTTGTTGTTGTCTCTGCCAACAGTTGTTGTTGTTGTTGTTGTTGTTGTTTTTGCTGCCTATGAAAGGAGAATATATTTTGATTCATAGAATATCAATTCTAAGAATGACCTTAGATTGAAACCAGCCCAAGACCCTAATTTTTCAGTGAGAGGAACTAAGATATAGAGAAGGGAAGCGACTTGTCCAGTGTCACCAAGGAGTTGGTGTCAGAGCCACAATGAGAAACCAGTCCTACTGATTGTCACTTACTGTGCTTTTCCCTGCATATCAGAGACTGATATTCTGACCAATGGCAGAGTGAGTACCAAGAATATTCCTTTAAGTTTATATGGATTTTTATGACTTTTCAGACCCTTGTCATTTTCACGGGTCCATCTGTATCTTAGTAGTAAGGAAACAGATACAGGCTGTTGAAGGGAGTTCCTAGGATTTGAGCCCAGTTCTTTGAACTCTGAATTTTTGTTTTTTATGCTACTCTGGCTAGTAGGTTTTAACAATGATAACAAAAACAGTTATTATGACTGCCAATCTCAGTTAAAAGGCTTTTGGCTATGATGAACAGAAGACCCAGTAAAAGTAGTTTAGGGATTTATTTTTTTCATCTAGCAAAACCAATCTGGGACTAGGGCAGCTCCAGGGTTGTTGGTGGCTCAATGACATCACCCCAGACCCAGGTTCCTTCTATCTTCTTGCTTTGCCATACTCATTCTATCAGCAGGGTCTTTCTTCATCATCCACAGGATGGCCTAAAATAGCATAATAGCCTTAATGACCAAAAGGCTTGCACATGCCTTGCTTGCTTGGCTTGCTCATTCATTCATTCATTTGTTTTTTTAGCGAGAAAAGCTCCCAAGAAGTCACCCAGAAAAATTCTCAGGCCTCAGTGGCCCGCACTGGGTCCCAGGCCCATTTACACAGTCACTGGCAAGCAGGAAAAGACCACCGTGCCATTGAGGCCTACCAAGATTCACTTCCTGGGACAGGGTGGCCGGCTCTGCTACTGTTGAATATGTTCAGAGATGTGAAATCACATGTCCAAGTTGACACAGCTAGAAAGTGACAGAGAAAGGAATGAAATCTGGGCCCTCCTGACTCTGCACCCAATGTTCTTAACCACTACGCACAGCCACCTCCCTTTCTTACTTTGCACGCTCTCTCTCGCATCCCCAGTACCACTTGCCAAATTCCCAGGCTGCACGCCTAAGTTGCTTTGGCTGGCGAATGCAGGATGGTCTCCTTGCCAGGTCAGTGTCAGCAATCAATCCCCATCTCCTGGGCGTGAAAACCAGCCGATTAGAGCTATAAGTAGGTGTTTAACAACACGGAGGCAGCCAGTGCGGCCGTCAGCAGTTTTTTTCCCTTGTCGGCTGAGCATTAGCAAATATGCTGAGAGAGGCACCCTGTTCCGCTGCTGCTGGGAAGAGGGAGTCTCACCAGGGCAGGTGATTTGAGAGGAGGAGAATGACAGAATGTCAGAGCTGGAAGGTCCTTTAGACCCAGTCTAGTTCGGCTCCATCATTGGACTGATGGGAAAACCAGGGTCCAACACAAAATCATTGTTGGAACCAGGACGAGAGCCTGAATTTATCCCGTGGTATTTCTAAAGTATTTCAAAGCACAACTCTCTATACCATTGTCTTGTAATTTCTACTCGTGAAATCTGTTTTGTTTTGTTTTGTTTTTTTAAATTGAAATGACATCTGAAAAACAAAGGCATTTTGAACTCTATTGTTGGGTCCCAGTTAGGTGTCTCCTGGCAAGCTCCTGAGAGAAGTGACCATTGACAGGTATCTTCGTGGGTTAGTCGCTCAGGGAAGGCCCTTCTAATTCTCCAGTTACAGACAGGGCCTCCCCCTGTAACAAATCCCCTCTCCTCTCCAACCTCCTTCTAACTTTCCAGCCATTTTAGCTTTTCTGCTTTGGTCATTCAGGACAAGTCCTGGCATTGGAAAGTTCTAAAGGCATGTGAGCCTTAGAGCCTCAAGATCTAAAAGAGAATGTGCCCAGCTTGTGAAGCAAAAGCTAATTGGCAGGTCAGAATGCAGGGACTCCTTGTGACATCATGAGATGGCTTGAGATCCCCTTATAGCTAATAACTCATATATATACATATGGGTTTGGGGAAGTCATAAGAATTTAAGTAGTATTTATTGAATGCCAATACGAATGGTAATAATAGAAGCTGCGATTTATTGAGCCCTATTCTGTGCCAAGCCCTGTGCCAGGTCCTTCACACGAATTTTTAACCTTAGTCTTCAAAATCATTTCTTATATTTATTTGTTTATTGTTTGCCTCAAGGTTAGAAAGTCTGTTTTATAGTCAAAGGAGCTTTTTATTTACTGCTATATCCCCAACTCCCGGAACAGAAGCTATTACGTAGTAGGTTCTCAGTTAATATATACTGAATTAATGATGTGACAGTAGAATGATTAGCTAGGTATTCTTCTTTGTTTTACAGATATGACAACTGAGGCTTAGAGAGACTAATTGTGAAAGGTAACTGTATCAGTCATCTTTGACAGCTATGAATAGTAAACCAAGTAATTTTGACTTAAACAAATAAGGTTATTTTTTTCCTTCTCAAGCAAGAATTCTGGTGGCACTGTTGCTACTGATTCCACTTAAATGATGCCATTATTAACCCAAGTCCTTTCTGACATTCTGGCCTGACTCTGCCATCTTTAGCATGTTGGGTTTTAAAAAATTTTTTTTTAATGGCTGTATACTTTTGGTCGTTATATGGTTATGACTTGAAGTGCTTGCTTCAGACAGCAAGTTCTGTGTTCAAGGAAGAAGATGATGGAGGCAACACTAGCCATGTGTGTTTACTTAATCATGAGAAGTAAATGTCTTCCCAGAAAGCCCCTGGCTTACATCCACTTATGTCTCATTGGCCGGTGTTATGTCACATAACTACCCCTAGCTGCAAGGGATGCTAGGAAAACGAGTATTTGCCTTTCTCTGGCTTTATAGAGGAGGCCAGTAAGGGAGATGGGGATTAGTAATAGTTTTATGTTAGCCAACATATGTGTCTGCCACAGCCAGGCAGATAGAGCGGTTGGGCCAGGACTGGAACACAGGTTTGTTTGCCTCCAAAGTGCATGCTTTTACTGACCATGCATTAGCCAACATGACTTTTACCCCTGATCTCAATAGAAAATGAGCAACTTGGGAATATCTTGTTCTATTCTGTGTCCTTGTTCTGTTCTGAGTCCTAGTCTCTGTATTTGCAAAATGAAGGAACGGTTAAATGAAGTCTATATTTCCTGCTGGCTATATGAGGTTTTATGGTTTCATGTCTCTGTCTGGCTGGATGACCACTTTTTAAAAGTTTTCTTCAAAACTGAATCAAAATCAAAGTCACCATCTCAGTGGAGATATTTCCCAGGATACAAATGCGCAAAACAGAATTGATTTTTTGGAGTTTGTTTTCATAGATGGTGGTATGTGTGTTTATGTGTTTCCGTTCGAGATATCTGATTCAGCGCTAGATGGTGAATGAAGATTGATTTTTGTCTGTCGTGGTCTGCAAAGCCCAACCGTTGTTGAAGTTCCTGTTTAAATACTTCTTGCTCCATCCTTTCCTTTTCTGGCTTCATTGACAGCTCAGTCTGTGGACTCTGTATATTTCAGGGTTTGATTTGATTTACTATTGCATTTTGCTCGCAGCAGTTTCTTTACTAGAGTTTAAAACCAGGGGCATGAATGCTGGTCCCATATCTTGAACTATTCAGCTATGGGACCCTGAGGAAGTCCCTCTGCTTCTCCAGGCCTCTGTTTCCTCATTGGTAAAATGACCAGCTAGTTTATGCCTTTGGAGCCTCCCAGCTCTGATATTTACATGTCTGTAAGTATGTGAGAACAAAGCAGATTCTGATTAATGAACAGAAGAGCTTACTAGCCTTGTTTCTTTCATCTATAGTCATAAAGATCAAAAGAGGAAATGAAAATATTAAATAAATGTGAATATGTGAAAGAATAATAATTACTATTTTTATAATCATTCTTAAAATTTCAGGTTGGACTTTTTTTTTTTACCCCCCTGAAAATAGCCTGTTAGGGTGTATTGGTAATCTTGGCAAAACATGTCACCTACTGACATGGAAAGAGCATTGGATGTAGAGGCAGACCCGTTGGGGTTTCACCCTCACTCTGTCATGTACTAGCTTTGTGACCTGGGTCATACTATTTATTGTCACGATCCCCAAGTTCCTTTTCTGGAAAATCAAGATTATACATATTTAAACCACAAGGTTATGGTGAGGATAAAATAAGTCAATTTATGAAAATACTCAGCACCATGGCTGGCACATGGTGAGGGTTTCGTAGAACTTAGTTTTCATCTTTTCTCCTTACTGATGCATCTAGAATCGAACAAAAGATTTCACAGTTGTCTGTTTTCTGGGTGCAAATGTTCCACTCCAGTGATAGAGCTGCTTTTGGCTGGGCTCGTTATACAGTCAGTCCCATGCATCTTTACTGTAGTGGCCATCTGCAGATTTATTGTCTCATACATGAGGGGAATGGGTGAATCTTTAGCAATCAGGACCCCTAATTCTATTCTATTCTTTAGCTTCTGAGACCTGGGATATTGGGAACCTCATTTCATTTTTCTTGTCTTCAGTTTATACATGTGCAAAATGTTATTACCCATTTCAGAAGGCTTTTGTTAGCCCTCTAATAATTTGAACAGGCTTGGTAATCTCTAGAGCATAATGGAAATGTATTGCTTCTGTTAGTTCGCCTAGATATCTTTAAACTAGTCCACTCTACCTGTTCAAATTTTTTCTGAACTTCAAGGTCCAAGTCACCCCACCTGTTGTAGAAAACTCCAAAATTCTTCTCCAACTCCAAAATCTCCCCAATCACTAACTTTTTATAGCTCTACCTGCTTGGACCACTCACTTGGCACTTAGAATAGCTGCTATGTAATGTTAGTTATTTGTAAATCACTTCCCCCTGACTTGGTCTTTGTAATGCCTTTTGTACATCATTCTGACACATAGCCCTTATCTGTGCACCTCTCTTAGGGAACAATAAAATATGTGTTGGTTGATTGGTTGTCTGTGTTATTATTTTATTGTTCAGGCTTACCAATTTTTCATTCAGGAACAACATAGTTTTCTTTAAAATGCAATGAATTATTTCTTTGGGAGCATGAGTAATACATGCCCATGGCTCAAAATTCAAAAGATGACATGTGGAATATGTTACCCCCACCCCTGCTCCCCCCCACTCCCGCCAAAGGCAACCGCTGTTGTCAGTTCCTCAATTGTCCTACCCAGAGCTGGCCTATATGTCCCCTTTTCCTTACAATGGCAGGTCTTTCTTAGGTACCTTGCATTTTTACTTACTGTATCATGGATACATTAAGTCAGATAAACATCTGATCTCTTCCTTAATAGTATAAAAAGAGTGGTCTTGCTTTCTTTTTTATATTTTATGGTTTATTTAAACAATCACTTTTTTATGAAAAGTGTTAATGAGATAACTTTCAGTTCTCATGTAGTTATAAGAAATAATATAGAGAGGTCTCGTGGGGTCCGTATTCAGTTTTCATTAATGGTACCATTTTGTAAAACTTTGAGTGCTGTATTATACTCAGGATATTGTTGACATTGATACAATCTACTGATCTTATTCAGATTACCCCAATTTTACTTGTATTCATTTGTGTGTGTGAGAGAGAGTGTATGGGTTTTAGCTTTATGCAATTTCATCTCATGTGTAGATTTCTGTATCTATTACCACAGTCAAGGCACTAAACATTTCCATCACCATGAGAATCCCTTATAATCACATCCACCTCCCTCTCATTTCTTCCTTGTCCTAACTCTTGTTATTCCATTTGTAAATATTTTTCATTAAAAAACATTATATAAGTCGAATCATATAATATGTTACCTTTTGGGACCGGCTTTTTCTTACTGAACATTATTTTTGGGTATTTCTGTATGTAGCACAATTTGTTTCACCATTTATATGTTGAAGGACATTTGGGCTATTTTCTTTTTTTTATTATAATGAGTAAAGCTGCTATGAGTATATATATATATATATATATATTTTTTTTTTTTTACTATGTGAGCATAAGTTTTCAAGTTTCAATGACAAATGCCCAAGTGTGGGCTCGCTGGTTTGCACGGTAATTGCATGTTTCATTTTGTGAGGAACTGCCAAACTGTCCCATAGTGGCTGTCCCCACCTTCCTATCAGCAGTGTATGAGTGACCCAGTTTTTCTGCATCTATGTCGGCATTTGGTGATGTCACCATTTTTTATTTTAGCCATTCCGTTTGGTGTGTAATGATATCTTATTATGATTTTAATTTGCATTTCCCTGATGGCTAATGAAGTTGAACATCTTTTCACGTGCCTTTGTCATCTGTATACCCTCTTCATTGAAATGTCTGTGCATGTCATTAGCCCCGTTTATAGTTGGATTGTTTTATTTTTTTTTTACTGTTGCATTTTGAGAGTTTTCAATTATTTTTTAGGTACCAGTCCTGTGTTGGGTATGTGGCTTGTGAATATTTCCTCCCAGGCTGTAGGTTGTCTTTTCATCTCCTTCCCATGGACTTTCACAGAGCGAGGGTATTTCATTTTGATGAGATCCAATTTATCAATATTTCCTTTTATGAATGTGCTTTTGGAGTCAAATCTAAGAACTCTTTCCCTAGCCCTAGAGTCTCAAAGATTTCCTTCTATGTTTTTTCTAAAATGTTTATAGTTTTACATGTTACATGGAAGTCCATGACCCATTTCAAGTTAATTTTTGTATAAGATGTGAGGTTTAGGTTAAGGTTCATTTTTATTTTATTTTATTATTATTTTTTTGCCATTGGTGTCTAATTACTCCAATATCACTTGTTAAGGAGTCTGTTCTTCTTCCAGTGAATTGTTTTTGTGGTTTTATCAAAAATCAATTGAACATATTCGTGGGAGTATACAGGGTGCCAAAGACTTTCTCTCTAATCCTGACTCAGAGCACAGGAGAAGCCTCTTTCTGGTGACTTTCTTGTTTTTCAGGAACAATAGTACTCCCCTTCTTTCCTCAGCAAAGAGTGGCTTCCCAGCTCTCTGAACCACTGAGGATGCTTTGGTGAGATGTGGGGATGGCAGGCGTGGAGATTAGACCAGAGAATAGGGACCTTGTTGCATGCTCTTATATTCCTACTGCTGGACCCCAATAGGTAGTAAGTAAAGAGTTTCTGAGTATTGGCGAAACATCTGTGTTATTGACATGCCGGCTGTACTAACAGTCCTGAATATCAGTATCAGGCTTTGCAACCTGAAAAGTGGCTTTATATGATCCCTAAATAGTACCCATTTCTTGAGCAGAATCTCGAGAGGGTGGGGCAGGAAAGATGGAGGCAAACTTGGCCATGGCCACCTTTCCAAAAAGAGTAACTTGGAGTATTAATATGTTAAACGAGTTTCTTGGCAGCAGGGGGTTCCTTAAAGCCTCTTCAGAGACTCTCGGTTGTGAATATGCTTTGTGAATACTTAAGAGGGGAACAAAGTGTGGTGTTCGCCAAGTTATTTGAACCAGGCTTTGATTCCCTAAAGCACATCATGGGCTTGGGGCATTAGGGAACAGGTTTTCTGGAAGACTAGCCTAGGGCCCTTCTGTCCAGAGTAAGCACTTGGCGATGGATGATCTCTTATTTTAGGCCTGATTTATACTTGGATTTTAGCTCCGAGCTTTCATCTTAGGAGAGAATGCCGCGACTTTGCTTTGATTTTTCAGGACCAAGTGCGAAGAACCATCTCCAGCAGGCCCATGATTTATTTAGGACATTTGGAGCAGTGAGACATCTCCAGAAGTTCTGTTACTCAGTTCTCTGGGTTGTTTGATCTCCTAATTAGCTGCCCTTCTTAATTCGTTTTTCACTGGTTGGCATAGCCTGCCAAGATGCATATTTGGCAGAACCTGTTCAGGTTGAGATCAGCAGAAAAAAGGAAGGAGCTGAAAGCAGCTAATGAAACTTTTGAATCTTCACACTCCCTCTCCTCTCACCCAACCTTCCATTCCAGGTGCTGACACGGGAGAATAATAGAAGCTAACGCAAACGCGGAGCTGCCACTGAAGAGAAAGAAGACTGGGGGACGTTTGCCAGCAAGAAGTAGACATGTTTTGAGGGTGAGGGCTTATTTCCAGCGGGAAGAATCAGGTACTGCTTCAAGGGGAAGGTGCCCGCTAATTTAAAATGTCCATTTGGGAGGAGTTACTATTGACTGAAGTTTTGGGGGGGGCAATTTGACTATCCAATTTTAAATGTATGTACCTATTCTATTATTCCTTAGAGTTCCAGAGCAATTCCACTTATAGGAATTGTTATACAGAAGTACTCACACAAGAATGAAAATGCATTCTTATCACTAATGAATGATGATCTAGCCAAACAATAGAATGCTGTGTAGACAGCAAGAAGGATTGTTATATACAACATGCCCAGTATATAATATGTCCAGATGAAAAATTAAGGTACCGTACATTTTGTGTAGATAACTTTTTTTGGGAAAAAAAAGGTTAATAGCTTATAATACAGAATATAGACTAGAAGAGAGACTTAGAAAGTAAATTAAACAGTTAATAGTGTTTATCTCAGGGGAGTGGGAAACTAGAAAAAAGTCGCATGCTCTTTGTTCTATTTTTCTAGACTCATTTTAAAAATAATAAGTACATATTATATTTATAGGTAGAAAATCATGATAAAGATTCTTTAAAGTACAGTTTAAGTTTAGTTTGTGTGACAGATTCTCTTTTCCCATTACTCAAGAGGCTTTAATGCACATGGGAATCCCAAAACACAAAGGAAATGGATAATTTAATTTCCCTTTCTCTTTCTCTTTTCCTACTTCTTTTAGTCCTCGCCTCACCTTCTAGAGTTCTGATTTCCACCTAATCTACTTTCTCTCTTGGACCTTTTGTGTCCCTTCCAACCCTTTAACGCCCCCAGTATCTGGCCCACCTGCCCCCATCTGATGCCTGAGTTCATTTCTGTATGGCTCACGCTGTACCTTTCCCATATAAATACCCATACGGGTCACTGAGGTTTCAAGTATTTCGCCAGCACAGTGGCCAATGGGCTACTGTATGGGTGAACAGAAACGAAATGGTCTCTGGCATCTGCTTTGTGGCATGAGCCTCTATCTGCAAAATGATAGAATTACATTAAATAATCTCTAAGGATCTTCACAAGCTAATATTCTATGATTACTTAAGAAAATATATTTATTTATTATGTTCAGGTTTTCTGGCTTTGTGTTCCTCTTATCTGGTGAAGGAGGGAAACTTAACATGTTTCTTAAAAAAAAAACAAACCCAGAAAAACATGCTGACAGTGAGGCAGTATTGGAAGTGAGCAAACTCCAGGTCCTGACTTCGCCACTCCTTTGTTTTGTGGCCTGGGGCCATTCACGTTCCTTCCTTGGTCTCCTTTCTCTGATTGATAGTAGAGTGTCTATCTGTATGCACCTCATTATAAGGAGATATTTGGGGATGAATGTGGACACTGACCTGGCTTTCATCCAAGGGTGTGATAAGAGTCAAATGGACAAAGAGGTGTGTAAGTGCTTTTATCACCATAGAGCAGAGTTTCTCAGCCTCGGCAACATTGTCATTTGGGGCCAGAAAATCCTTTGTTGGAGGCTGGCCTGTGTGCTGTAGGAGGCTCAGCTGTCCTTAGCCTCTACTTACTAGGTGATAGTTACTCCCTTTCCCCAGCCGTGACAACAAAACACATTTGTAGATATTGCCAAATGTCCCCTGGGGAGGGGGGCAGGTGAACCCTGGTCTGAGAACCACTGATGCAGAGTCTATATCGACTTCAAGCGTTGTTAATTATATAACTACTTTGAGAGGGAACAAATAAAAAAGAAGAAAAAGCAACATAAAGTGGAATTCCAGGGAGCGCCAGAGATGCCTCCAGTGCGGGACAGAAGATAATACGCAAGTGACGCTAGTGCCAAATTACAGCATCACTTCTGGGCAGTCGTATTTCCTGTGGGAACACTCTGTACCCTAAAGAGAGATGGGAAGATCAGCCTTGTTGAGGAACCCTACCCCCAAGGCACAGGAGAGCAGGGCTTTATAGTTCTTGCCCGCTTCTAGTTGTTGATGGGAGGGGGACCTCAAAGAAACACGAAGGACACAGCTTCATCTACAAGGTCAGACATACAGAGTTTCATGGATATTAGAGCATTTAGTCAAGTGTCCCATTTAAGTGCTACACTACTCTGTGTAGTATTCTTTTCTCTTTCATTGTCTTTCTTTTTTTTTTAAAGTGTAGTTGACATACAATATTATATTAATTTCAGGTATTCAACATAGTGACTAGACATTTACGTGCCTTCACAATGTGATCACCACAGGCGATTAGCTATTCGAGCAACTTATGTATGCGTATCTTCTCCCAGCATTTGTTTCCTCCCTTCCTCTTTGATTCCCGAAGACTGTCCAACGTGTCCAATTCCTTCATAACACAATAACAATTGTGAGCAAGACCCACCTTTGCATTATACAGGCGCTTCACTTGCGTGCCTCCGTTAGGCAGGTAGCAGCCCCAAACCTCTTGTTATTGTCCCGTTTTGTAGATGAGGAAACTGAGGATGAAGAGACGCTTTAAGCCCAGCTCTCTCTGTCTCCAGAGCCCACACGCTTACCCACCACTGCAAATGTCACTCCTTCCCAGCAGAGAACTTACCACGCAACACCACCCCCGGGGTCACTGTTGGTTGTTGATCTCTCTGTCTCACCTGCTAGGTTGTGGGCAGCTGAACCACCCCTGCACCTACTCGCAGACTCTGAGGGTCGTGTCATACGCACTGGACTATTCTCCAGCCACTATGCCTCGATCTTTAGGAATAAAGAGCTAATGGTGGAATTTTATACATCAGGACCCAACAGGGCAGCAGGAGGGCAAGTAAGGAGCCTGAATAAGTCAGCAATGTCCATCTTTCTAGGCAGCATGTGCCTGAAAGCGAATCATAGATTTGTAAACTAGGATTAAGTGGAAACTGAGAAACTCTTTTTCTGGTGCTTTGGATTTTAAAATGAGAAAGTACAGAGATTAACTACTCGCTTAGGTGTGCCCAGTGTGTCGGTAGCAAACCAGGGTTGACGCTGGGCACAGGCTCCCAGTCCAGTTCCCTGCCATTATCAGTGGGATGCTGTGTAGGGTGAGGGGTCAGAATGCAGCACCTGGAGTCTTGTTACCTGGGCAGTGAACGAAGATCAGAGCAAAAATACTTGACCCCTGTGGCCCTCCTTTTCCTTCTCTGCAGATGGGAGTCACAATCGTTCGTACCTCAAAGAGATGTTGTGAGGTTATATGAGATAACGTAGCACAGAGCCTGTCACATAGTAAGGACTCAACAAATGTTAGTGATGATGATTATTATTAATACTAATTCTTTTATTAATAATGATTCTTTTATTAATAATGATTATTATTATTTTTAAAGAATTTAATGACATTTCTACCTATATGTTTTTGTGGGCTTTCTTAGACTGTAACATAGATTCACTTTTAAAATCCCTACACAATAAATAGACTTTGCTCCTTTTTGCATATAGTTCTCTGAATTTGGGCACATTCATACAGCCGTGGCTCCACCACTGCACTCAAGGTACACAGCACACTTTTTCCCTTTCTAAGCAACCCCAGCACCCACTCTTGGACCTGATAACCACTGATCTGTTTTCTGTTCCTGTAATTTTGTCTTTTTCAAAATGTCATTTAAATGGAACGATATAGTTTCAGTATATAGTCTTCTGAGTTTGTCTGTCTTTTTCTTAGCATAATTCATGAGTTTACTCCATGTTGTCATATATATATATATATATATGCACCTATATATACACACACATATATATATATTTATATATATTTATATATCTATCTATAATATGTATCACAGTGTGTCTTTCCATTTTATTTCTGAATAGTATTTAATAGTACAGATATGCCAAAGGTGGTTTATCCATTCACTAGCTGAAGGACATTTGTGTTTTTTGCAGTGTGTATGGAGCAGTTATGAGTAAATATGCTATAAACTCTGTGTATAAAGTTTTAGGTAAAGATAAGTCATCATTTCTTTAGGGTAAATATCTAGGAGTGTGATCGTGTGTCATACGATAAGTGTATGTTTATAAGAGACTATCCAACTGTTTTCCAAAGTGACTTTTACATTCCTATCTGCAATGCATGAGGATTGCAGTGACTCCAGCTCCTCACCAGCACTTGGTGTGGACAGTCTTTTAAATTGTAGCCATTTAAAGAGGTGTGTCACGTTATCTTGTTGTAGTCTTAATTTGAATTTTCCTAATGACTAATGTTGTTGAGCATCTATTCATGTGCTTATTTGCCATCAGTGTATCTTCGATGGAGTATTTTCTCAAATCTTTTGCTCATTTTTTTAATTGGATAATTTGTCTACTTAGTATCACATTTTGAGAATTCTTTAATATATTCTGCATACAAATCCTTTGTCAGGCATGTGTTTTGGTAATATTTTCTCCCAGTTGTGGTTTATCTTTTCATTCTCTGAACAGTCTTTTGTAAGGTAGAAGTTTTGAATTTTTATGAAGTCCAGTCATTGATTTCTTTTTTTTTAATAAATCATACTTTAGGTGCTGTATCTAACAAATCTTTGCCTTATCTATATTACACAGATGTCCTCCTATGCTTCTTTCTATAAGTTTTATAGTTTTAAGTTTAACGTTTAGGTCTGTGATCCATTTTGAGTAAATTTTTATATGAGATGTAAACTATTGGTTGAGGTGGTGGTTTTTTTTGCATATAGGTATCTAATTATTAATTTCATAATACTAGTTATATATAAGCAGTGGGTGCTGCAGCTGTATGATATATCACTCATGAGTGTCTTAGGAATATTGATAACTTCTACTACCACGATTATGATTATATTTATGGTTATTCATCTCTCCAGCCATCATCCTTCCTTCAACAAATGAGTGTCTATTATGTAACAGTCATTGTTCTACATGAAGAACTGTCAACAATATTGAGTATGGTCTCAAACAACACAGGTCATTAAGAAGCGCAATTATGGAGGGGCACAAATGTATCATGATGTTAGGCCAATGCAATGGCTATTTGTCAGTCTGATGAGTTAATTTCTTGGGTCGGAGAAGGGAGGCAACACG